GATATTCTTGCTTCTTTGTCTTGGTTGTTTTCTTATGAATTATGCATTTTGACTCATATCTTGTGTTTATTCATTTTATACCATCGGGTCTTTCCATGGCGGAGACTTCAATTTTTCGTTTGGTTCATCGTGATGGCGGCGACGAAGACTCGTAACCTGATGACGGAGGAGGAACTGATAGAATTGGAAAAGCAAGAATTCGAAACAGGACCCTTATCCGTATTGTTAAACGCCGTAAAAAACAACACCCAGGTAAGCATCTCGCAAATCTACACCAGAAACTCGATGCAGTCCACTTTTCACCGTAGAGACGTCCTAATTTTCTCATTTCCTACTTTGTTTACTGGACTTCGTCAGAGGCACAATTCTTTTCCCACTAAAACTACTTTGTCCAATTTTGGCACTACTTAGTTTTGTATACTTGCTCCTTCTGATACCGGGCCATTATTTATTTAAGGTTCTTATTAATTGTCGGAACAATAAGAAGCTACTGGCTCGCGTGAAGGCGTTTGATAGACATTGTAACATGGTACTTGAAAACGTCAAAGAAATGTGGACCGAGGTTCCCCGCCCAGGCAAAGGGAAGAAGAAGTCAAAACCCGTCAACAAAGACCGTTTTATCAGCAAAATGTTTCTCCGCGGGGACTCAGTCATCCTCGTCTTGAGAAACCCCCTTGCTACGGCAGCTGCATCAGCTCGTGGCTAGAAACTGGCCGCCTTCAAATAAATCCCTTCTGGAACTGGGGCATCAACTTCGCTTGTTTTTAAAAGACCACTACAAGTGGCATTTCGGCAAAGGTATCGAGAGCGGTATGCTTTAAGTTAGTCATTCTCCGCGCTACTCAATGACTAAAAGTAGGGACGACTCGTATCAACTAGGGGCTAGAGTACATTTAGTTGAGCAACTCAGTTAGCTTTGAAGTCAACATTTAATTACAGGTCTTGTGAATGTAAGTGAATGATACTCATAACGCCGGACAGCGTGAACGTGCACTAGTTTGGAATTGAGGTTGTATGGGGATTATGAGGAGATTACGGAGAGTGGATAAGCGAACAGAACGGGATTGTGTGCTGGCATTGACGGGGACGGACGTACAGGTCGACTACACACGCACGAACAGACGACGGCAAAAGGTCAGCAAAAGCTTGTTTGCATCAACTCGCAAGAACAAAGTAGCGTCAATGGGCGACGAAGTAGAGATAGGAGTATAGAGAAGCAGAG